TTTTAAACAATTTTTGTTTTCTATTGAATTATGTACAGAGAATTTACCTTTACTGTTTGTTAAAGTGTCCGACCAACATTCTGCATCTGTGTATGCAAGAATCCCTAATACTACAATGACAAAAATATCTGTACTTTTCATCTCTCACTTTATTTACTGTGTGTCAACTAAAAGTCTACTTTTATACACTTTCTTTTTCTAGCATCTTATCCTAGTCATCGATCATAAACAGGAATATTTGAGTGATAATGAGCTAACAGGCTATCATGTTTTGAAAAATATGAAGCACGAACCTCTGAGAGGGACGTTTTATGATGGATTTTCTCACAAATTATTTATCACCTTTAGGCGCATTTTTTTTTCAATCGTCATTCTATGTATCTGTCAACATCAGTAAAAGGGGGATCCCTCCTGGTTTTATTGAGAGAGTATGCATTATTTGGTAAAATATTGACTTGTATACTATGTCTTATTGAAATCAGACCAAAAAAGAAAGAGAGGCATTTTGAAAGAATTTCAAAGAAATATTCCATTTTAGTAACTATGGATGGCAACACCGTTTGTCAAAATCAAAAACCGTAACCTAGAATTATGTCTTAGTAAAGTCTATTTGTACTAAAAAAAAAAATTCGAAATCTGATAAAAACTGCAGGAAGAGTAGCATTTTGAAAGATTTTCACAGAAATGTCTATTTCTAGTAACCATGGCAATACCGTTTGTCAAAAATCATAATCCGATATCTAGAATTATGGTTCCTGGTATAGTCTACTTAAGTATCAAGTCTTATTGAAAGCTCCCTTTCTAAGGAGCAATTCTTCAAAATCGTACTTCAGTTTTGAATATTTTTTTCATATTCCCAACAGCCAAAATGAATTTGAACTACCATATTTACACTGGATTCCGAAACTTCATAAAAATCCTTACAAACAAAGCGGGTTCTAGTCAATGTTCTACCAAGCCTCTTTCTTTATTCCTCACTAAAATATTAACAGCAGTGAAGAAGAAACTTCAGGAGTACTGTGCAACAATATATTCGAGAAGTGGCGTAAATCAGATGCGGATACTTAAATTCCAAGAAACTTTTGGAAAATTTGAAATCACAAAATTTTACCAAAATCAATAACATCAAAACTTACGACTTTTCAACTCTATATACAACCATTCCCCACGATAAATTAAGGGCCAGGCTTTTTGACATCAAGCATTGACAGCTTTTTTTTTCAATAAAAATGGAACTCCTAAATTTACTTACCTTGTCATTGGTCATTGCAAAATTATTTTGTTAAAAAACATTCTGATTGTACACACAAGTACTCTGAAGTTGATATTAAAAAGATGCTTGAGTTTCTGAATGACAATATCTATGTGGTTTTTGGAATTCCCATGGGTACCAATTACGTTATTAGCAGACCTATTTTTGTATTCATATGAAGCAGAATTTATTCAAAAACTTCTACATGAAAAAAAGAGAAAACTTGCTGTGGCCTTCAACTCGACATTTAGATATATCGACGACGTATTATCAATTAACAATAGTTATTTCCATTCATATGCGACACGATATATCCCAGGGAGCTTGAAATAAAAGATACCACAGAGTCTGGCACATCTGTTTCATATTTGGATATTTTACTAGAAAAAGCTTTATGGTAATCGTGATGACTTTAACTTTCCATTCGTCAACTTCCCTTACTTGTGCAGCAATATATACCCTCATCACCTGCATATGGGAATTATATCTCTCAGCTGATTCAATACGCAAAGTATGCTCTACGTATGAACAATTTTTAAAACGAGGTAAATTATTGATAAACAAGTTGATGAAACAAGAATATCAATACTCTCGTTTAAAGTCATCATTTCGTTAAGTTCTGTGGTCGATACAATGACCTTGTCAGCAAATACAATCTACCATTAAGCCAAATGCTGACTGACGTTTTTCATACTAATTGTTGGACCATTATTTAACCAATGAATCATCGACGGATTTTTCCGTTAATCCCCGATTATGACAAGGAGCACACGGCGGGTGTGACCGGTCGGCAGGGGATGCTCATTCCTCCATGGGACCTGATTCGACCTCTGTTGTTTTAGAGGTCCGTGTTTGTTCTGCTTCTGATTTGTATTGTTTGAATGGACTTTTGTGATTGAATACTGTTCGTTATCTCCATATATTTCACGGTAGTTTAAAAACTGTAGGAGGAGTGCTGTTTTGAAAAATTGTTTACAGATAGACGGACAGACTACGAACACCTCACTAACGCATAAACTCTTCTTTTCTTTCACCAGTACAGCTAAAAAAAAGCAAGGGGCCCATGGACCACAACTCTCACCTGATTCCCTATGGTTCTGTTGTTCATCAGCAGATTTTATTTCCTATACATTCCTATGGAAAACTCTGATCGCCCATTGTGGGACCACCCTCAGGAGTCATGACTTGAATAATCTTAAATGTACTCTACCTGAGGATGCTACCATATAGATATGACTATTCCTGACTTTGCTGTCCTTGAGATTTTTTTAAATAAATTCTGTATATTCTTATGTAAAACTTTGATCATATTTTGTGGCCTACCCAAGGAGGTCATTTCAACACTACCTGAGGATACTTTCATAAAAGCACGACTGATCCTGTCTTTGCTGTTCTTAAGAAGATTTTTTTTTAAAGATTTTTAGCTCTAATGGTCAGAGACCAGAAGAGCTTACGGGATAGTAAGGTGTCTGTAGTCCGTCTGTCTAGCTGTTCGTCGGCCATCTGCAAAGAATTTTTCAAAATGCTGCTTCTTCTGCAGTTTTGGTTTGATTTCAATATAAATCTAGCACACAAGTAGACTATAAATCTAACACACAAGTAGACTATACAAAAGATAAATCATTCTCTTTACTCGATTTTGATGATCGGTGTTGCCATGCAGTTACTGAAAACAGAAATTTCTGTGAAATTCTTCCAAAGCACACCACCTCCAACAGTTTTAGTCTGATTTCAATAAATCTTGCCATAGTTTTAGTCTGATTGCAATAAATCTTGCTAAAGTTTTAGTCTGATTGCAATTAATCTTGCCAAAAAAAGAGACTAAACCAAGGATCGTTATTCTATTTATTGCTGTTGCATAGTCTCAAGTCCAAGTGGTACTTTTCTCTTCCTTTGTTATGAGTACAAACCAGAAGATCTAGATTCGCGGAGTAAGGAGTTTATCCTTACGTCGCGGGTTCACTACTTGAGGATCCTTCCATATAAATATGAATAATCATGGCTTTGCGGTTCTTGAGAAGAAAATTTTTACAGATAATTCCTACATATTTCTATGCATTCTTATGAAATATTTTGATCCCCCACTGTGGTCCCACCATACCCCCCGTGGGTAATGATTTGAACAAACTTGAATTTACACTACCTGAGGAAGATTCTGTATAAACATGACTAATCATGGCTTTGCTGTTCTTGAAAAGATTTTGAAAGATTTTTCCTGCATATTCCTACGTATGATCGACCACTTTGGACTCACCCTAGCTCCGAAGGTCATAATTTGAACAAAGTTGAACTTACACTACCTTTGGATGCTTTTAAATAAATATAACTAATTGACGTTTTGTTTCTCTTGAAAAAAAAAGATTTTTAAAGATTTTGCCATATACTATGCTTGCACATAACTTAACGTATTCAAAATTTGATGCAATCACTAGGTATTGAGTGCTTGGCGTTATATTAATTAGCACTACACAGGTCCGTTCCATGTATTGTATCACCGATTTATTAACCGTATTCATGCATGAACTGTTGTCTGTGCCAAAGCTTCTATGAAGCCTGCTGTTTTAAGTACATGTACATAATACACTATTTCTATGTAAAACTTTGTAATTGATTGCCTATTGTGGTCCCAATGCCTGAGTTTTATGATTTGTACAAATTTAAATTGGCACTCTGTAATGAGTGTCATCTTTTCTGGCCCAGTGGATATTTGATAGATACCATTAAATTTTCATTTATTCTTCAGTATATCCCCTTGAAAGATGGTGTGGCCCTTCATTTGAACACTTAAATCCCTTTCATCCAAGGATGCTTAGTGTCAAGAATGGACGAAATCAGCCCAGTGTTTCTTGAGAATGTCAACTAGAAATCCATGCCTGCCTACGGTTCTTCAGTAATGCAACATGTAAATGTGTATTAGTGTATTAAGTTTGATTAAAATATCTTGAATAGTCAGAGGTCATTGGGAAGGTCATGGTAAAAAAAATGGGCACAGTTGATGAATTTTAAAAACATTTCAATACATAAAATAGTTTCTTTGAAATTGAGCTATAGGTCAAAGAAAAGGTGAAGGTCAAAAATTTTTGATGCAGTTTAATATATAGCATTCGCCAAAATGTATCAGCACATGAAGTTTGATAAAAATAGCTTGATTCATCTCATAAAACTAAGCTAAACACAATTTGAGAAAAGAGAGGTCAAGGTCAAAGTAAAGGTGAAGGTCAAAATGTTGATGTAATTGAATAACCCTATCAATATGTACAGTGTATAAGAATATGATGTTTGATAAAGATATCTTGAAAAGATTGTTTGAAACTTAGCTAAACAAAAGTTTAAGGAAACTGAGGTCAAGAAAAGGAAAGGTCAAGATAAAAAAAAAAAAGATTGAGCTGAATAGCTCTCTCTTTTATGTATCAGCATATAAGGAGGTAAGAAGGGTTGGTGCATAATAAAATCTACATGAATCAGGCTTTATGGGATTTGATCACATGACCAACCTATATTTACATCCCGATGAAAGTTTTAAAATGATTTGTCATTTCTTGAATACAGTTGAACTTTGGTATTTCAAACACGGTTATCTCAAATACCATGGATATGTCTAAGTGATTGTGAAGTCCTATCCATGTATTTCTGAAGTATTTTACCCTCGATATTTCACACCCTCGGATATCTCGAAGTTTTTTCTCGGTCCTATCAAGTTCAAGAAAACAAGGTTTGACTGTAAAATATAGAAAAATGCAATGGGGAATATACTAAAAAAAAATGTTTTATTCAAACAATATCTTTTGGGTTCCAACAATAATGTCTTCCTCTGTTCAATGAATTTAATGAGTGCATGTCTTCTTCCGGAATTTGAAAAGAGAAAACGTCTATATTTTCCTGAATATGCTTTGGGTTACATGACTTTGGCAGAACACCTGAAAAATAACAGCAAGGACAAAATATATTTTATACTTGTAAAGGTATTTTGCATTTAATTGTTCTAGTGACAGATGAATTCAAAAAAATATAGTACATGTACTGTAGAAATCAGGATTGTTGCATGGTGAAATCTGTAATAAACAAACTGGTCTTACTTCAGGCAAATAAAAAGAAATTGTAACTGTTGATTTAGTACATACCTATCCCCTGTTGGACTGCCCACCTCAGTAAAATCTGAGACACACTTTTCTTTAGTTTTCTACTCACTTCCAGAACAACTGGGTCTGTTAAAATCTGCAATTTTTCATTATTTATTTTACCATCACAGAGAAAAATACAAAGTGAAAATAAAATTGAACTAAAATGAATTAGTCCCAGAAGGGATAATTAAAACTCATCCTGCATAAATGCATTGTTTACAAAACATAAGCAACTCATTTTAAATAAGTTCACCTCAATAACCTTAAAAATGGAAGACCAATGTTTACACAGAGAAATTTTAGCATAAATTTTCATAAAGGATCACTTCTAGGTAAATATATACATGTATACGTTGACCTATAGGGCCGATATTGGTTTCAGTCTTTAGAAAAAGCTTATTGATATCCGTTCTGGTCGCTGACTTTAGGCCACATGCGTGTAGTTTCTTGTTTCTCAAGTATCGTTTTAGTTTCAGTCAACAGTGTCTTCATATGACCCTACATCGGTATTTACAGATACATCCTTTATATGAGGGTCCTTATTTGATGCCTGGGTAATGGCAACCAGACATAAAACCTTAAGGAAGTTCTAAACACTAACAAAAAGTGCTTTTTGGGCTTGGAGATAAATATATCATATAAAGGTGTGCATATTGAGACTATTTACTTCATTTTCAACACAGGGTACCTAAATTATTTTCGCAGGAAAAATGTTCAAAGACAATGGACTATTCATGAACAGAAATCACTGTTGTTTACTTACAGTGGGAAAATCAATGGAAATAATGAATTTAATTACTTATTCTTGTTCTAATATAATGCTAAAAATATTTTAAACTATTATAAATTGTGTAATTAACAGTAAATAAACATTTTTTTCTATCTTACTTCTAAGGGCAGATCACTCTAACTGCATAAAACTATCATACAAGTAGAACTCTTTAGTGTGCAGTGTTTAGAGCTTCCTTAACTGACCTTACCACATTCTTTTCTAATCTGTAAACCTTCCTCCTGCATTTTTAACATAACATGTTGCCAATGCACACAATTTTCCCGAGGAATGAACTGCATCTACTCTGCATAGTGCAGTATTTCTCCCAATGGCACAACAGTACTATTACACAGAGATGTTCTTGAAAGACAAACAAAGCAATTTTTGCTCTGCATGATTTTTTTCATGACACCTGCAGTATCGAGTAACACAAAGTGAATGATTCGTGTCCTCGAACGAAGTGTGCTTACACTGAGGTATAGTTCTGGTTGATTGCGTTTAGTTAAAGAGAATTTATGATCTGCATTTCCATAAATGGCTTTTATATCAACAGCAAACATACATTTAAGGAAGAAAATAGAAGTAAAATGCAAAAGCCTGTATAAAAAATTAAATTTGTGTTTATACAGGTGAAAAATTTGAAAAAATAAAAGTGTGCCAACAGGTGGATTTGAACCAGGACACTAAAAATGTTCATGGTGAGAGTCTATGGTCTATCTCTCTGTCAGTGAGCTATATACTGACTATGAAAACATAAATATAATCCAGTATGATAGGAATAGGTTTTCGCATTTTTTGTAGGTTTTTTTTTACGAATTTCGACCCTAGGGCAGGGGTGCCCCTAAAATAACCTTGTTTTAAATCATTCATTAGATCAAAATCTATCAAAATTTCATAATTTAATTTAGGGGCAGGCCTGCCCTGAAGGACTTCTATGCCAAAATTTGTGCTTTAACGTACAAAATACTGTTTTGACCAACTTTGGAGGTTAATTTCAAAGTTGCAAAAAAAAATTTCAGGTTCAAAATGCAAATTTGAAAAATTTAGACAAATATATGATAGAAAACAACTAAAGAACACTGATTTTTAAATTTGACTTTTTCTAGAAAATTGTTCTCTCCTATAGGTCAAATCTTTTGTTATAACGAATACATCCTTTGTACCATCATCAGGCAAGTCCTAGATCATAATTGCTCTGGTCCTAAGAGAAATATGACATTTTCATTTTATTTCGTCAAAGAATCATGCATGTTCAATTTAAAAATATATCCTTATTATAAAACCTCTGGCTGTACCCTCTAACTTGTCTGGAGGTTCATGGGGAGTACCATTCTGGTAATAGATTACATGACATAGACTCTACAGAACCTGATTGTAAACCTCCTTGACTATATAAATTTCTAGGGAGGGACAAACCTGAAGAAAGTTACCAGTCTCTTTTCACAACTGGACAGGTACATGTAAACCTATCTTGTTATCTTGTCTGATTGTTCCCATGGAGAAGTAGGTGTGTTTAAAGAAACCATACTTTTAACAGAATCAGACTCTACCTGGTAAACCTACCTGGTTGTCCTGAGTGGTTGTTCCTAATGAGGAGTAAGCCTGGTAAAAGATACCAGTTTCCTTACAGAACTGGATCAAATCGGTCTGAACAAGATGTGGATGGTGCTCTGTCTGTTGAAATATAAGAAATCAGCATTATATGCACATTAAGTTGTTCTTTCCAGTACAATGTTTCCTTATTTTAGGAATGTCATGACTGGTCTCAACAATGCTGTCAGTGGTGTCATTCCTGTCAATGTCTGTTTTCCCTTACAGAAAATACTTTAAAGTTCAAGTAAGATAGAAACTTACAATGTAAATTCAACATTGGTGCCTCACTATAACATACTGGTACTTTTGTTATGAAATAAAGAGATAACAAACAGTAATCAAGCTAAAAACTTCTTTGAAACAATACAAATTGGGAGCAGAGCAAACAGAGACCTCTAAAAGCATCAAAGGTGGGATCAGGTGCCATGGAGAAGTTAAGCATCCACAGCCACCATGTGCTCCTTGTCATAATCGGACAAATGGAAAAATCCATAGACAATTCAGTGTGCAAATAATGGCCTTACAATTAGTGTGAAAAATGTCAGTCAGCATTCAACTTAATGAAAGATTGTATTTGCTGACAAGGTCAGTATATAGACCATAGACCATAGAAGTAGCAACATGTTGACTTCAAATGCGACTGTTGATATCTTTGTTTCATCAACTTGTTTATCAATAGCTTGTCGTCTTAGAAATTGTTCATATGAAGAGCATGCTCTTGCATATCAAATCAACTGGGAGACATAAACTCCATATCCAGGTAATAAAGGGTATACATGTATTGCTACATAAATTTATAAGGAAAGTTGACAATAGAAAAGTTGAAGTCATCATGTTTATCATAAAGTTTTGTTGTTAGGTTACCATTAAAGTCCTTTTCTAGTAAAATATCCAAATATAAAACAAATGTGTCAGACTCTCTGGTATCCTTTATTTCAAGTTCACTGGGATATATCGAGTTGACATATGAATGGAAGTAACTTTTGTTAATTGACAATACATTGTATTGACCGAAGAGCTGACAGACAGACAAACTGACAGAGAGAAGAGTGACTATTTGCCATCACATAAGATCCCCTGGTCCAACAGTAGATCTATGAGATTACCTATCCAAAACAATAATATACTTTGATGCAGTTTCCATACCTGGAGCACCTCTGGATAGACCTCCGTTTGTCATACAATTTCTGTGTAGATTATACTTTGATTTCATTTTCATACCTGGAGCACCTCTGGATAGACCCCTGTTTTGTCATACAATTCCTGTATGTGATGCTTGAGGAAATTTGAAACTCCTATGTTTTTTACTTTACCTACATGAACAAAATGAAACCTTCTTTTAGTGTGTAATTATGAAACTGAATACATCTTATAGGTAAAACGGTTTATCATCTCATCTCTACAATTTAACAAATCAAACTCCATTAGCAAATATTTAATGATTATGGTTCAAAGAGAGTATCTTCCATACCACCATTGATTAAACATGCAAGAAAACACAATATAAATGCTTTCCTTTCCTATTTTACCAGTCTAACTTCTGCCCCCATCGTCTTACCCTCCTTTTGTAACTGTATCAGATCCTTCCAACTACCGAGGCGTAGCTCACACTGACCCGAGTCATCTGGCTTCTTCCCCTGGGTTCCTGGCCAGTGTATGAGGTAAAGATCTAGATATTGACATCCCAGACTGGAGAGAGATTTCAGACAGGCAGAATAACAGGTCCCTTCTCCCTGGTCCTTGGGTCCTGGAAATTAAAAACATGTTTGTATGCAAAATGCTAACCGTCAAGAAAGGATGACTGCACTTAAGGACACGCGGAATTTGCGACAAAATAAACTTTCAAAACAAGCATTTTTCTTTTCATTGCAAGAATGGTCAACATTCAATCTACAACATTTTGTAATTAAGTTTGATAAAAGTGTGTATTTACGATGTTCGAATCTGTTTTCAAAGGCAGGGGTAATAACAATTTCTTGAATCTCCGTTCGATAATGAGGACGCCCACTTTTTTACTGATTATATACATAGTCAGCGCATGTTTGTCTTTTGTTCTACGTTAAATAGTAGTTGTATATTTGCATAAATAATAATGTGTCAAAAGGAGATTAATAGACAAACATGCGCTCAAGGTTAAAAAGAGAAAAAAAACTGCTTCTTCTTACATTCGCTCTCTGTGTGGTAACCAAGGGTTGTGAATATTATAATTCACCACGTGATTTCTTACCTCAGGTAACTTTGTGAATACTAAATCCAATCAAGTGACTTGTAAGGTAGCATGTTTTGTGCTAACTAGGGCATTGTGTTCGAACATGTTAAGTCATCTGGCATTGATATAAAATCTGCTTTAATTACACTGACGTGCTCAAATTGTTAATTTCATTTTGAAACCTTTGTCAGAAGTGTATTTGTGCCATACAGAATGGAGAGGGAGATTGGAAAGAGTGATCACATTCTTTTTTTTTCAAACATGTCATTGTTATTTATCAAGTCTAATTTTAGACCCATTCTTACAATGTTAGCCACACCTCTCATGCATATGTAATGTTCAATCAAGGGCAGGTAAGTGTATATTCACTATATTTGGAAAGCAGTAAGGACAAAAAACATTGAATCATTTTATTGTATCACAGTCTAAAATCCTTTGCAGATTTGAATTTGGTTCCAAATTGACAGGATTCTTTCATAAACATACAAAAGTGAAATAAGGTTTAGATATAAAAGCAACAGAAGCAACTGAAAAAGACCCAAAAACAGGCGTTAAGTGCAGTCATCCTTTTTCATACTGTATACAGGGAAATTTTCGCCCCATTTTATTTTCGTCCCTTTCGCCCTACTCACAAGTGGGCAAATTTAAAATGGGGCGAATTCAAAGAACACAGTATAATTTCTTAAAAAGAACTGTGACTGGGTGAATTTAAAATGGGGTAAAATTGTTTGCAAGAGAAAAAAAAGGGTGAAAATAACCCTGTATACAGTAAATTATCAAAGAAATCAGATATTCTACTACATATATCCTGAAGTTGTGAAGAAATGATACTGTATGTGTACATATATTGGCATATTCAAAATTTAGTGCAGTCACTGGGTATGGAGTTGTTCATCATGAATTAGCGCTACACATGTCCGTGCATGTATTGGATTTATACATGATTTCTTAGCCGTATTCATGAATTAGTGCATTGATGTCCATGCCAAAGCCACTAATATGAAGCCCGCTTTATTAAGTACACATACAGTATTCCTTGTTGTGACTATATAATGTTAAATAAAGTTTCAGTGCTAACTTTTGAGAGATACCACGATATTTCACTTATTACCAAGTTTGCTGGTTATAAAAATGTCAGATCTCTTCAGCTGATTGGTAGGTAACAGTTCATGAAGGCTCTGACCAATCTCAGCTTCATTTCTGTAAACTGCAGCTGTGTCTGAAAGCAAATAACAATTACTGCATTTCTCCAGATCTGCCCCCTAAGTAGCTATAAATTTATAAAAGTACTGACATTTTTAAATTTGTATCAGTTTAATACTAGAAAGTCATGTAAAGAAGGTTTTATTAAATGAAAAAAAAAATTCTATCAATGGCAGATTTTGACAAGTTTTCAAATTAACTGACCTACTGATCTGTATCCTGTTTCTAAAGCTGCTTTCAGTGTCCTGTAAACATCTTCTTTTCCTCTGATTTTAAATGTCCCTACTGTAAGAAAAGTTAATTTTTATACATTAATTCATAATGATGGATAATAAGGGTAAAAATATTCCCTACAGTAATGAGTACAGTTTTGTAACTTCTACACAATATGTAAAATGATGATCCTTATTAATTTTTCTTTAGTACCCCCAGCTTGAAAAGTGGGGGAGTGTATAGTGAAGGAGATGTCTGTCCTTCCATCTGTATGTCCATCTGTCTGTTACACTTTGGGGTACCCTTCTCTTATCTGCAACTCCTCTTATACCACTGTATGAAATTTATTGAGACTTTCACAGAATCCCTAGCATTGTTAGATAGTGCCAAGTATTGTGAACCTCCTATTTTACTTTTTGATGGGACACATAATTTGGGGTTTCCAAAAGCAAAACATTGACACTGTCACTTTTTCTATTAATTTAATATTGAAAGGTACCCATCTCTTATCCGCAATTCCTCCTACATGTATAACACTGAATAAAATTTAATTTCACTTTCACAGAATCTTTATTACATAGTGCCACTGTGACCTCCTATTTTACTTTCTGATCTGATACCTACTCTGGGTCTCCCATAGCAAAACGTAGACTTTGCCTTTATATTTGTATGGGAGGCGGGGGTATCATTTTGTGAGCCCAGTGCTCACAGTGCCTCTATTTTTTTTTTAGATAGCAAATGCAAGAACTAAAAAATTCCACTCCATCTACATGTATCCCTCTGAAAAGTCATTACACTTTGGGATATGGATATACGTACTTTGTAAAAATCTATACTCTGGTAGGGAATATAATTAAGTTAAAAGCCGATCTGTCCTGACAGATCAACGTGGTTTATCTTCCATAAGTGCCGAGCACTCAATTCAGCGACAGGTATGTAAAATGCTCTGTCAGAAAACTTACATCCAACAAAGGGCATACAATTTCCATTTCTTAAAGTAACGTTCATCAGTTCATTAATTAGGGCCTAATGTCTTTTGTAATACAGTAATTGTTTTGATAAAAGTGAAAGTAATAAAACAAATTAGATAAGGCGGACTGCGTATTTTCGTTGAAGATCTAGAAATCAAATATAGCAATCTTGTATGAAATCTTTATCATTTTAGTCTTTAATAATACATTATTCTTTAAGATACATATGAGTGAATTTTAATTGAAGCACGGTGGTTTCATTTAAAAGGTACATACCGTCAACTTTTCGTACGACCTAATAATTCGTGTTTTGAAATCGAAAATCAATTGACGAAAATTTGTGTGCGGAGGCTGCGCCGAACAGTCGGATATTATTGGAGATTACGGAAAGTTGGTAATGTACCATATGTTTTAGTCATTTTCTATAGTTTTTTATTTCATATTGATACAAAATTATCAAATGTTAATGATTGAGATGTTCCCAAACGTGTAAAATGTCAAAACAATATACTAAACACAGAGAAAATTAATTTTATTCACAATTTATGCAAACACGGGGAAATTTTTACTCCTTTGACAGATTTCTTGGAGTAAAACCAGTGCCTTGTAAAATAAGCAACATTCTCGTTTTAATTTTTAAAGTTTGCAATCCATGACAAATCGGAAACCGGATGTGTTCTTGTCCAGGAAGGTATTTTTGCATGGATTATAAGCACACATTCAGCAGGTCCAGCACAATCTCTTGATTAAGCTATATAGCTTGATTTAGCTATATAGCTTTATTAAGCTATTCAGAATAGCTTGATTTAGCTATTTTATCACACTTTTTTCTCAAATGTGTTATTTTCCAAGTATGCACAAAAAGTCGCACCTTGGTGCAGTGATGATATTCAACCTTGAACTCTTATGAAAATAATGCATGTAAAAATCACTCATCTAAATTGTTTCTCCTTAAGAGACTTTGTACTAAGTTCTAAAAGTTTTGGGGCTATATAAAGCAATTGATACAGTTACTTCTTCAATGAAATTATAAAGGAGGCCAATTATGGTCAACAAGATAATTGATTGGTAATAATTCAGTACAATGAGAAGCAATCATACTTAATATCCATGCCTCAACACACACAAGGTAGTGTACAGTTACCCAAACAATAGAAATTCATCTTTTGCTTAAAAATATTCAAATGCTGCAATGTTAAAACTATCTTTGATTTGGGTTGTTGATTTGATAACCCATATTACATATATGAATAGTCAAATACTTGTGACTTTTTGTCTATTTTGTACAAATAATATTTTTGTGAAAACCTGCATATAAATAGCTTTATCAAGCTATTTTGAATAGCTTAATAAAGCTATATAGCTATTTCAAGCTATATAGCTTAATCAAGAGATTGTGCTGGACCTGTTCAGGTGATTATGATTACCATGATGAGTTATAAACACTTTGACTCGTCTCTGTATTTTGATCAGTTTGTATCGTTATATGGGAAATTTGAAATTATGTTATTTTTAAGTGCAATCCGAAAGTGCATATACTGACAATTTGATTGACATTCACTTTGCAGAGAATATTTTATTAATGTTCTTTATAAACATACATTGTAGTAAGATTATATTATTATGTTACAACAAAGTCTGGCAATTAAGTACTGATAATTCAATACCTTCAATATGTTCAGTCAGAGTCACAGATGTAAGAAGACTAAGTCTTTGTCTAAGATACATATACGTACAGAAATTGTATAATAGCAATTTTTAGCCCATAGGCTTGTATGTTTAATGCTGTATTAAATGAACCATGCATGATTAGCCACTTGGCACAAACATTGTCACAGGTGTAAATGTACTTTATGTGAAAGCTTTTAAAATTGAATTAAATAAAAAGCTTTACAATTTTAAATGGAGGAGAAATATTTGTAATCATGTTCAAATCATTGTATCATTACCATGATTACAGTATGTAATGTTTTCACAGACTTAGAAAGCTTTTCTTATCTATCATGGCCCTTGGGAGCAAGGATGAGGGCAACAACATTTGAAATAGAGATCAGTAAATCTTAAAGACAATATTTTCTTCTCAAAGCCTACTCTTTGTCAAATTAAGATGCCAGAATTATTCTTATTTATCAAATCATGACTGTAAAATGTTTCCAAGAAAGTCATAGGGATCCAAAATTAAATGAGAACTATTGGTATATTTAAAAAACTTGTATGCCAATAAAATAACAGTTTATCATTTGAAATTCATTGATCATCTTCCTATGGACTAGACTGAAGTTATTCTGTTCTATGGCTCTTATTTCTGAGATGTATATCACCATGATAGCGTTAATTTGACCTGACGGACATTGTGTAAAGTGGCCCTCTTGTACATATGATATATGTTATGCTAAGTACCTGTCCTTATGTCATCAGATGTGCAATACTTTGTATAAATGTTATAAATGTTTATGATATCCAGGAAATAGAATGTACACATATGTATTTATAGCTACATGTAAGGGTCAAATGTTGAATGTTACATGCATAGTGGACCAAGTTAACAGCTGAATTTTTTAAGAAATATTTAATTAATAGAAACTAAATGAGATAAGACTCCACCTATTTGGCATCAATTTGGCACCCTTTCTAAGCCACTCTCATCATGGGCACTGTTTGTAAGGATGGTGACAACAAAATTACAGTTACAAGTTAAAATTTTATATTTGATATTTTGTGTCTTCATAAATCCTTCTGTTAAATGTTTACTGCTGCTTCTTCTATGATAATTTCAAAAATATTTACATGTACACTAACTCTTTTAAACATATTAAAGAGAAGAATGAGGGTGTTTTTTTAAATGGTATGTTGATCAATGTGTATTAAAATGTTTTGTGAATTTGAAAACCTTGCATTCATGTTCGAGAGATTCCCATTTAGCCTATAGTTATGAAATATTGTACATCCATTCTACATGATCTATATGGCAGTCAGTGCATTTAATTTATCTCAAGAAATAAGCTTTGAGATGACGTTCCACAATTACTGATCATTAAACAATTTACTTTCATATATTGTTTTGGATTATTAAGATGATTATAATTTCTGAAAAATGTTGAAACCTTTACATGTTTAATGATGTAGCAATGCTACTACCATATTCATTCACATTTTCAAGAAAGAGTTATCTGCCTTTGCTTATGAAACTTTGTATACAGTTGTTATTCTTGTCTATCACTTTGCTTAACCTAGTAAGTCTAGATTAACATCTAGATACACCTCGTCCTGAAAGCCTTCTCTGACTCAAAAACAGGTATCTGACTTTGAAGTATGTAGCTTGAATAAAAAAATGATGATAATTTTATCATGCTTAATCAGATATGAATTGGTAGACGAAAAAAGTCTTAATATGTTTCATGTCAAGATTTAAACACAATTACCCTGAAGATGTAAAATGACCTTTTTCTCTTGAAAGCCAGCATCATTGTCATTTCATATCCTGGAAGTAGAATTACATGTACACATCTGTGTTACAGGATCTGTAAAACATTAAGGAGAGAACCATTATTCAGAAAGCACTTAGGCCAACAATGACAGGACAATGTCTGCCAATATTTTCTCTCTAATGAGGAATGCTGTGGGATTAATTCTTTCCTTTTGTGCTGGGATTTCATTTTTAAACTAAACATTTGCTTTTCAGAATCAGTCCAGGATGGAGAATTCCGAGAGACAAACTCAGTCAGGGAGTCTGGCATTCTTTACTGTATTGATCCTGGTCATACAAGTGCTTGGATTAACTGCAGTTATCCTGGTGGCAGTGTGGATGGGGTCCTTCCGAGGGGGCTTTGCCTGGCAATCCGATCCCATCCATGAGTTTAATTATCACCCAGTTTTCATGGTGACTGGCATGATATTCCTGTATTCTGATGGTAAGAGTTCATTGAAGTACATCTTTATGGACCCTATGACTTTTCATACAAGATTTATATTGAGGACATCGATTGATTAGGTTTAGAATATAATAAATTGTACATATCAAAATTATATAGACTAAATATGATGTCAATAATAGAATTGATGAATTTCCAATTGAGTAGAATAGCATTAGCAAATTTTCAGAGAGAATACATTGCATGTATCAGGAAAGAAAGTTGAGCCTAAGACTTGATCTGCTATGTGAATTGTGCCAGTTCTTATAAGGAATTAGACTAATTGGGAAATCACAGTTCAATGTAAACGTTGTTTCTCCTGCATATTTTCCAGCCATTTTGACTTACCGAGTGTTCCGAAATGTGAAGAAGACTTATCTGAAGGCAATACATGGGATAGTCCAGGCTTTGGTGCTGATATTCACGGGGGTGGGACTGAAGGCGGTGTTTGATTCTCACAATCTGGCAAAACCTCCGATCCCGAACCTCTACAGTCTCCATAGCTGGATAGGACTCATCACAGTCATCTTGTTTGGACTCCAGGTAATGTTTGTCCTATAATTCAAAAAGTGAATTTATGGTCATTGTGATGCAATACTTTTGATATTTTCTAACCTACAGCACTACATAGATTAAAGATGGAAAGAGAAAAGAATATAATACTGATTTTGGTATCACAGTTAAAAAAGGTCAAAGCCAGGGATTAAAGCTATGAATATGGTTTTTATACATTTAGGTGATGTGATAAGATATTTGTTAACTAATATATATTATTTTAAGTATAATTTTACCATGTTTACTGCATTTGCAAGTATTTGTGAGAAAAGATACCTTTAGATTTTGAGAACTCTTCATCAAATGTCCAGATCAAAATTATTTATTTTCCACATGAAATACATTTATTGCTTTACAAAATCTTAAGTTTATTTCAACATTCAGACTCATATTCTCTATATTACATTAAAAGAGATTCAATATTCTGAGTTTAATTTGATCAAAGGTCAAGGTGAAGATTATATGTATAATTATATTATTTTATGCGCTCACTACTTGACACAGTTTGTCAGTTTTGCACTTTTTCGCCCCAAGATATAGTTTCCTTTATGTCTTAGTATAAATTTGTTGATCAACCTTACAGTTTGTATTTTGCAGTGGGTATGTGGCCTGATTTCTTTTGTCTTCCCCCTGCTAAGTATGGGAGGCCGCCAGACTTATATGCCTCACCATGTGTTCTGGGGACTGGCCATTCTGTGTCTGGCCGGGGCTAGTGCAGTGACCGGTATTACAGAGAAAGCTCTCTTCACAGACTTCTTCTCTCACTTGTAAGTACACTAAGCAGCTCTTGGTCCATATACCTGTTGATTACTATACTTGTACATAAATTGGCATATTCAAAATTTAGCGCAATCACTGGGTATGGAGTTGTTGGCGTAATCATGAATTAGCGCTACACATGTCCGTGCCATGTATTGTATATATAAATTATTTCTTAGCGGTATTCATGAATTAGCACATCGTCGTCTGCTCCAAAGCCGCTAAAATATGAAGTCCACTTCTTTAAGTACACATACAGTAATTCTACTAGTGGTTACAGTTTATCAACATGGTCTAGTATTTCCTTTATCTATAAATTTCCCCATCTTTTCTTTCCACAGTAAGTATTCTGCTTTTCCCACTGAGACTTACGTCATCAATTTCCTGGGGCTGACCATCGTGTCTCTCATTGCCCTGGTGGTCTACGTAGTGACCCGCCCAGAGTACAAACGCCAGCCATCTCCAGAAGAGGAACACATTCAACTGGTGCAGTAAAGTAGTAAACTCAACTAGTTCCCTGTATATGCAGGAAACTCAACTAGTTCCCTGTTCCTATAGTAACCAGCAGTTAACTGCCCTTGAAGATATAAATATTTATTGAAACATCGGTGTTGTGTGTAAACTATATCTGTGATGCATTTGCTCAGTATTTTTGTGCTTTTTTTTCTTTGAAAATATATTGAAAGAAGACAGTTGAAGGTGATCATTTAATTAACAAAACTCATTCAAGTGCAATATTTTGGGTAGGGGGTACTTTAAATTGTTCTTGTTAGATAGTAACAATTAATGTTAAACCTGTGTCAGTTTAAAGTCTGAAGTTACATCAATACATGGAAGTGACTTTGTTATTGATATCCTGTTATTTGTTGGGTATAAACTTCATATGTTTTTTTCATTTTATGATCTAGACTGGCTATATAATGTGGAATTATCCTTGTTCATGGGGGATCAATTTCTCATTGATTTCATGGGGTCACTCTTAACCACGAATTGATATTCTCTTCAACCAATGTAATTTCATCAATGAATCTTCTGTATATACATGACTACATGTATATATATATATATATATATATATATATATATATATATATATATATATATATATATATATATATATATATATATATATATATATATATATATATACAGTTGAACTTTGGTATCTCAAACACTGATATCTCTAATACCATGTATATGTCAAAGTGATTTGGAAGTCCCAATCCCTTATTCTTTAAGTATTTTACCCCTATATCTCGAATCCTTGGATATCTTGAAGTTTTTTTTCTCAGTCCCATTGAGTTTGAGATAACGAGGTTTGACTGTATAAGAAAATTCTTTACAGGTTGCCTATAAAATAATGTTCCAATAAACAAGTAAAATTTGATACCCAATAACATTGACCTAAGTTAATTCAAATGATTCCACAGTATACAGTGTCAAAAAATTTGTAACTCTTTTTCATGGGGTCACTCTTAATCACGAATTGATAATCTCTTCAACCATAATTTCGTCAATGAATCTTCTGTAAATACAAGTTGCCCAATGAAAATAATGTCCCCACAACCAAGTAAAATTTTGATACCCAATAAGATTGACCCCTGCAGTTAATAACACAGTTCACAGTGTCAAAAAATTTGTAAGCAAGTCTAAGTTGTATGCGTGTCTAGGTGTTATGTTAAATTGCGTTTGAATTTCAATATCACAGGTTACAACATTTCTGATTGGCTAAAACCAGCTTCTGTATAACAGCTACTTTCAGCCTTCAACAGACACTAAACTTTAAGATATTTGGTGAATTTGAATTCTAATATGGTTTTGTGCAAATTGTGCACCATTTTTGCTTCAGATAGTAGTAGTGTCCTATCTTCTAAGGCCATATCCAACTGGATGAATTTTGATTGCTAATGAAGCTACATTGTATGTATAATGAGAAATATGTTTTGATCAATTTTTGACCAAGTGGAATCTATATGTTTACTTTATTGACATATCTGGATCATTTGTGACTGACATATGCTTTTGATTTGTATTCAAATGCTGTCTAAAATAAAGGGTTGTGATGAGGTTAAATGAAGTTCCAAGGGATGGCCAGAATGTAGGATTTTGTACTTTAGATTAATTCAAACTTTTTTAAATTCATGTCCTTTGGTTGCCATCTGGGGGAAAATCACATAGAATTCTCACAGTAGTTGTTTTAACTTTCTGGTTCATATAACTTTGTCACTTGACATGCAAGTAAAAGTTGTAGTTTGATTATCCCAGGATAGGGTGATCTCCTCTTCCAGAATGCTGTACATGTAACTTCAGTTACTCTGCACTTGTACAGTACGGAGCAGAAGTGGTCTTATTTTCCAAGTGAGTGAATATTTGACCAAAACATTCTTTTAAGGATAATTATCTATAAAATTTACAAGCTTGCACAGTTGTCCTATAAATTTGTTATAACTTTCTATTCAGAGATATAGTTTATTTTTTTTCTTGGATAACAGGATGTCTACAACTAACTGTTTGCCTAGTCATTGAACATAACAGTTTGGATACAATATTTTGGATATAATGCTACATATCTGATTTATTTAAATATTCTTATTTGATTTTTTTTTATTAGATTATGTATATAGGTAATATGAAATAACATTGTGTATATAACTATATTATGCTCTTTTAAGTTTTGTCCCCATGTTATGAAATTAAGAAATAATAAATTGTTTTGGTGTAGGAAAAAATTATTGATTTAAATGTCATTCGGCCATTTAATTAAACTAGTTAACATTTTGATTCCGATTATATAGATTAAAACTTTTAATTGTTTATATTTTATTACAAAGCTATTCTTAAAGATCGAGAGATTTTTTTCTATTTTCATTTGCATCTTTCTTGACTTTTTTTGGCAAATGACATACACATGTATCTGAAACTTGAGGAACAAGCTATGACCTCCCTTGAATGCAGTCATGAAAGTAATATTACATGTTCAAATTACCCTAACCAGTTAAAAAAAATATTAGAAAAATGTATTTTAGGTCATTCAAATAAGTAAATGCCCTTACAAGCTTTGAACTAGTGCATTTACAACAATTACCAATTGTTACAAACACTAAATAATAATATGTAGCCTTATACACGTATGTGTACACGGAGTATAGACCAAAGGTGACAGCAAGTCAGTTCAATTTTCTGCTGTTAATGACCAAAAAAGTCTTTTGTGTTGGGTGTTTACAGGAAAGTGCTAGTTCTAAGGATATCCAAGGCCATGATTTGGCATATTTATACCTTGTTAATTGGTGCTAAACATATTTGACCTATATTTTGTACACACTAAGCCATATAGACTTCTTCACACATATCTAAATTGGTTTTTCTGCTGAAAAGATGTATTTTGTATAATTCTAGTTTTTATTTATGCATTGGTGGCTGTCAAGGATATTTATTATACATGTATATACTTTTTTGGATGTTAAAGTCCTGAATGTAATTATATGATATGAAATTACAGAGACCTGAAAAGAGAATCTCTAAATTACCTATCTGTAAGAGTATATAATGAATTTTAGTGTACAGCTTTTCAAATGAAATTAGAATAATCTTATTATGAATTATATAAAGAGTATTTGTTGTGAATTTTGTTTTTTGGCAGATATACCATGATCATGACATGCTACCGATATTTTGATTATAATTCTCAATTATGATTGGATACAATTATTTTGAGAGACATATTTGACTGCAAAGATAATGCTACAGAGTACTTTGTTTTGTTATAAATTTGAATTCCTGGTTTTTAGCTCATCTGAGCAAAAGCTCAAGTGAGCTTTTCTGATCACATTTTGTCTGGGATCTGTCTATAAACTTTTTACATTATTTTTTTATTTCTCCTCAAGATCCACTGGATCAATTTCAACCAAACTTGCCACAATGCATCCTTGGGTGAAGGGGATTCAAGTGTTACGATAGGGCCACAATTGCATTTGAAGTTTTACATATTAGGAAAAAACTTTTAAAAATCTACTTCCCAAGAGCAAAAAAGCCATGCTTAATCATATTATGTCTTATATTTATATATTAATATTTATATGGAAGCATCTTCAGATAATGTACATTCAAGTTTGTTCAAATCATGACCCATGGGGGTAGCGTGGGGCCTACTCCAGCATGCTAGAGGTTCATGGCGAGATACTTTTGACTTGGCGCGAGGTATATAAGGAGCGTAGGGACGTTAACCGAGGCTCTTACTTGTAGGAGTAGGGTGGCGCCAAAATGGGCGATCAAAGTTTTACTTAGGAATATATAAATTTAAAAAAAAAAAACTAAAATCTTCTTCTAAAGAACAGGAAAACCTTGTTTAGTCATATTTCTATGGAAGCATCCTCAGGTACGTAGTGTAGGTTCAGGTTTGTTCAAATCATGACCCATTGGGTAGGGTGAGGCCACAATGGGCTACATGTAGGAATGTATAGGGGGAAAATTTGCTGAAGAAGGGTCATTGTGACACAGGTGAGCAGTGTGGCCCATGGGCCTTGTTATTTGTTCTTATAATCATATTTTCATCAGAGATTTTAATAATAGGTGAATGTTATTGATATCTCTTATTTCAATTATATCATCTTAGCATGTATTGATATTGTTGCAGCAATAGTACATGTATTATGTGTTTATCATTTACTGAATATGTATAATTGTTATTGTAAATAAACCAGCAAACTTGAATGCAAAATTACATTATTTAATCAGACTTTATACAGCAAGAATGATTTTTTTTTTAACGAAATCTAAAAGTGAGTATAGAATTGCCTAAATGGTTAATCATTAACACCTGAGGCGAAATAACCATCACAGTCGCCTGACATATGGATGGTGTAACATAGGATTATATATACCCCCCCCCCCTCCAATTTTAGAATTTTATAAAAGACATTCAAAGTTATTAGATATATGAATTCCTTAGATATAATATGTATATTCTGATATTATCTTCCATTTTTGCTACGTTTTACAATCTTCCGGTTTATAAAAATCCTTGCCATCATCCATACGTCAGGTGCCTATGGACATTGGGAAGTGAGAGACTCGGATATATTAACGATATGGTGATCCGCACTACATATGGGGGGGGGGATGTTAATGTAGTGTTTTATTTCTTCGTACATGTACCATTAGAATAACACCTTATATGTAGATAATTAAAAAACCCAAAATATACATGCCTTGACTAGTTACTTTTCTGACAGAATCTCTGGTTGACGTAGTACTCCTATCTTCATGCGATTTCAACCAAAAGTAATAGCCGGCAGTTCTCAATACAATATTAAAGCAAATTTAATATATTAGTTAATCCCCCCGGGGGGGGGGGGGGTCATGATTGAATCTCAGTCTCTAACTTTAACTTGACCCCCCCCCCCATTATCGTTGATGCATATTTTTTTTCAGAAAATACTAAATGTAGGACCTAACTTCATTCCTTTGCTTTGAAAAAATAGAAGTCTATACTGTTAAGAAAAAATGTTTTATGATATTCGTATACAAAGCCATCTTTAAAATAATGTTTGCTTGCCCTCTCCCAACACAGGGTAAAAAAAATTGAGTCGGTAGGTAGGAGGAAAAAAAATTCCCCAGAAAATTTCAATATCGGTGCGGAATTTTTCAAAATGTTTTAAAATAAAATTGAAATACTTGTTGTCAGGCTAGGATGAGAAAATTCTGGAATGAAAAGAAAAAAAATCGTTTCCTGGAGGTTAAAAAAATTACTGTTTTGAGTCCGGCCATTTTCAGCGCGGTCGCAAGATTTGTAATTAGTTTAAACCATATTTTATTTGAAAATGACAAGCAGAAGATACAGGTAAGTAGTACAAAAATCAAAAAGGATTCGGAAACAAGTTTGAAAACTTATACTAATCCGTTTCCTTATTATTATGATAAAGGTGACAGACCCTTATTAGATAGCTACATAACACGGTTTGAAGCTGCTTAAAAAGTATTTGAAATACATGTTAAATTAGAAATCATGTCGATTGACACAAATGAATGACGTTCTAATTA